TATATATATATATATATATACACACACACATTCTGAAAGGTGTATTTCTGGTAATATGATTTATGACTCGTGATAAGTGCTCTTTCTTGCTCTATGACATGGTTCATTCAATAAAAGCTGTTGGAGTGGGCTTCTGCAAAAATTATCTCCCATTTTTGCTTTAAAGGCTTATATTCTTATAGATTTAAAAGTATGAAATGTATCTAAACACCAGGAAATGTCTTTAAATTGAGTCCTGCATCCTAATCAGTTGTGTGCCATAGGGCTGCACTTTAGAATGCTTCTGCCCTTCGTCTCACCTCCAGCCGTTTAGCAAGACACAAACAGGAAGTTCAGCCAGGTGATGCTTTTCCTCATTAGTAGGGCGAATATTATTTTTAGTGCACTTTTCTTGGGAGCAATAATGTAAGGACATTTTTTTTTTTTCCTGGCAGTTGGTCACAAAAATAACCTAATAGACATTATAAGCCACTAACAAATTGACTGTTTTTTTTCAGAATTTCCCAGCATTTTGAAATTAAAGGGATTGTATACTCTATTACCTACCCTCAAGTTGTTCCAAACCTTTGAGATTCTTCTGTTAAACAAAAGAAAATTTTTTGGTTACCAAACAGTTGACAGCAGCCATTGACTTTCATGGAAGTCAATGGCTGCTGTCAACTGTTTGGTAACCAGCATTCTTCAAAATATCTTCCTTTGTGTTCAACAGAAGTAAGAAACTCATACAGGTTTTCAACAACATGAGGGTGAGTAATTAATGACAAAATTTTGGGGTTAACTATCCCTTTAAATTGTTTAGAAAATTGATAACGTAATCAGTCCTTTCCATTCAATGTCTACCCACCCTTCTACTTGTCTTTTTGCAGACAGGTGATATTACCTCTTTTTGTCATGAATATTCTTCTTCTTCACAGGCCTGGTGCAGAAGGTAGACAAACGATTGCCAGTTGCCAATGAATATCTGCTGCTATCAGGTGGAGCCAGGGAAGGTGTTCTTGACCTTAACCCAGAGGATCTAGGTGACTATGCTAAAGGTGTTGACTTTGATTTGGACTTCACTCTACTAGTGCCCGCTCTTAAACTGCATGACCGAAATCAGCCCGTGACGCTGGACATGCGGCATTCCCCACCATGCCATTCTTGGCTGAGCCTGCGCCTCTGCGACCCTGCGATGCTGACGCGTTGGAGTATCTGCTGTCAAGATGAGAAAACTAGAGAGAATAAAGATGTGGAAGATGAGGAGGAAGAAACTGAAGCAGTACGAGGCTCAATCCCATCCCTGCAACCTCCTCAATCATTAGATGGATGTTACTTCTCTCCGTTGCTGGTTGCCGATTGGTTCTGGAGTGTAGTTGGGACGGCGGTAGAAGAGTTGCGGAGAAATCCTCAAAGAGGGATTCCTGTTCCTGATTGTGTTGAGCGGAATGGTCCACTAACAACACTGATTCTTACTGCAGGAACTAGCCGTATCCTTTACGACTTGCTTCCAGTGGTGTCGTTTCGTGGCTGGCCGGCTGTCGCACAGGGCTGGCTCACGACCAACCATTTCTGGGATGGCAAAATAACGGAGGAGGAGGCCATCAGCGGGTTCTACTTGCTTCCTTGCTGTTCTCCAGCTGCCAGCCCCTCAACCAGACCTGACCGCGAATGGAGACTTGCCTTCTCCCGCAGTGAGGTTCAGCTAAAGAAATGCATGCCCTACCCAATGGCAAAAGCCTTCCAAGCAGCTAAAGCTGTACTGTCAAGACTATTAGCTCGCCCTCGCACCGGCCTTAGCCTCTACCACCTACGTACCTTGATGTTTTGGGCTTGTGATCGCTTGCCTACAACCTACCTTAGCTGTCTAGATCATGAGACTCCTGCACGGCTGTTCCTTGGTCTACTTGATGACTTGGCTCACTGCATTCTGGGCAAAAACTGTCCTAATTACTTCCTCCCTCAGTGCAACATGCTCGAGCACCTTACGGACAGTGCCGCCCTGTTAGTGGCACGAAAACTTGCACATTTACGTTCCGATCCTACAGAGCATTTAAGAGCCGCTTTGGAGCAGACACAACAGGCATGCCAACTCAAACGTGAGGCCGCAGTAGCTGTGAGCAATGGCCATGGGTTATCATCATCTACCCATGAACATGGTGCGGGATCACCACAGGACGACCGGCTAGCACAACGACTACAACAGCTGGTGACCGAAAACCTTGGCAAGTCTATTTCAGTCTTCCTCAACCCAGATGACGTTACACGCCCGCATTTCCGCATTGACGACAAGTTCTACTGAGTGGACTGAGCTGGTTTATACACTGCCCAGGGTACAGAAACCCTATACGACAGAACTTCTAGAAGACATAGTCATGTCACTGTGCTACTGTATTACCAAATAGTTAAATAGTCTTCACAGAGGGGTTTCTTCCCTCTGTTTGGCTCAACAAGACTGACAACAATCAAAGTTGCTTGACACTCCAATGAGGGATTGCATGAATTTCACAGGTGTCACAATGTCAGGGAGAACAAAATTTACAGGGGAAGGATAGATTTTAGTTAAGCGACTCGTATAAAATCGAAATTCAATTGCATCCTAAGTTTTTTTAGTTTTTTTTTACTTGCTACTCAATACTACTGAGAAAGGAAACTAGTATTTTCTGCTGTGTTCCACAGTAAATCCCAAGGGCAGTAGAACTAGAAAACCAACTAGGCCAAGGTACATTATGATGAAATCGAATGCAAATTTTTTTTTGTTGGTGTATGTGTGGAGAAGTTTGCAACTATTGATCACATAATCTTCTCTTACTTTAGTCTGTCAGTTACCCTGCTTTCTCCCTTTCTCAGGTACTTTTTTTCTTTTAACTGGTGAGTCTTGAGTTGTTCTACAGTCAAAAACAACAAAAGCAGAAAGTGAGAAAAAGATGAGGAATAACTCACAAATCTAGGCCTTGTCCTTTATGTATAAGAAGCTGTTGTACAGCCTGTAGAAACAATCTTTTTGAAACAAATGCTGTTCGAAGCTATTTTTTTGTTTACTTTTTTTAGATTCTTAAGTTAGATGCGGGTGATGGTCTATCACGTTTCAGAGACTCGTTGATAAGTAATAAGTTAAACTGACAAAACTGATTGATGCAGATTTTGTGTCTTCATGGTTCCTGATTGGATTCTAATCTGCACCTAAATAAGCAGTATGTGTTAGTGTTATTCTAAGGGCTTTTCTTTGTCAATCGTTGTTGCATATGTCTGGATAAAACTAAACATGGAAGATGCTTTGGAAAGTGGGATTTTGTGGGGATAAAGGTTTGCCAGCACTAAGTACTGGAATAATAGAAAGACAGATCCAGTGCGGGCAACAGAGGTTTAGAGAAAGGATTGAAGGAACGTGTATAGAGACAGAGGAATGCATCTCAGTGTTTTTTTGTGTTTGTGAAAGGGTCCTACAGTATCTCACTCTTGCATATTTGCATTGGTAGCTGTGGGAGGCAAAGATGGATGAAGAAAGTCAAACACGATGTCCACTGGATAGATTAGGCCGAACCAATGGGACTCCCGGGACTGTAGACATCTGCTCTCCCGTGCTCATTTTTGCTTTCCGTCTCATTCCTAAATCCTTCCCTCTTCATCGGCCTCCATCTCTGGCTGTTCTTGATCCATCTCTACCTCTTTGACTGTGCTCAAGGATTAAAGAACAATGTTACATGTGTATTCAGCATAAATCGCATTAGTGCCCTGTGGGAGTTGGCAGACCATTCGTGTGTGCTGCTGACATGGCTGCTGCACAAATACAGAGCAATCAGTAACAGCGTTGCCTTTGAATGACAGCAAAATGGTGAGGAATAGGCTTTTTCTAGTGAATTTCTCATTCCAATATGTGAGACGGGAGACGTGCTACTGAAAAGAGGTTGTATAGTGTTGCACATGGTACAGGTAGGCTTTTATACATAATGTCTGCTTCATGCCAAGGAAAAGACACCAAAGAGAGTTTAAAAGACTGATTGCTTAGATTAAATGTCATGAAGGAAAACGGATGTATCTCTATTGTATATTGTCAGGGTTTGACACTGTATACCTTAAAAGGCCTCTTTAGTTGGTTTAAATATTGTAAAATGCTTGAATCAATATTTGTAATGCTATTTTAAATGTTTTTTTGCATATATTGACCGTTGTTTAGCACAATGCCTGATATCAAATGAACAGTGGTACTATGCAAGATTTCAGAATCATCTCTATGAATGAGATATTAAGGCCTACCATTTCTGTGATCATTACCGAGTGTTTTATACAATGAATTCATTGGGGAAAAAATTAATGTTCCTGCCTCAGGGCATGATAAAATGTTCCAGACGCATTTCAGGTGAATCTGAAGGAAGCCAAAGCACATAATTTTCTTTCCCAACTTTTTAATGATGTGGTCCCAGTGTTTCATTTTCTGACAGCAATAGTCCCTTGTGTCATGCTGTTGTGTACAAACGTTTTTTTGCCCTGCTCAAGCGGAAAAGAAAATACTAATGTAAACAACTTATTTTACCTCTTGAATTAATCTTGTCGTCAACCCAAATTCCCTGAATGGAAATGGAACGATGCATATTTAAATGGTACCAAATATTTAGATATTCCATATCATTTCTCTAACGTGCCTCAGAAAGCTTTTTTTTATAATAAATGTGCTGGGGGTGGGGGGAAATTGCCCTCTGTGTAATCATGTGTGATGATGCTGGTCGTAGCATGAAATAAAACATTACATCTATGAGGATTTGTACCGTTTATATTTAATATCTATAAATGCTGCTCATCTCAGATCTCAAAGATATTATCTGTACTCTAACTAAAGGCCAATTTCAGTCCGGTTAAATGCATTTCTATATTATATAATTTTGTAATAACAAATAAGTTTTTGTGTATTTGTGACTATAGACTTGCTCTGCTGGGCAAACTATCTGTGTGCTGGGCTAAAACATGCTAGCCTAAGTTTGCAGGTATCACACCTAAAAACAAAGTGCATTTGTGCTGCAGAATTTGAAGGTGTATTAAATAAGGTTTAGAATTAAAAGGCAGATTAATCCTACAAAAAAAAAAAAAATCTTGAAGTTTCGGTGCCCTCTCCATGTGAAATATAATGTTGGTCCAACAGAGGATGCTGTTTGACTACAAAGTGTTAGCTTGAACTGCAAGCATTCTTTCTGTACCCATTCTAGATGTCACTGTAACAGCCATATCTCTGCTCAGTCTCACTACACATTATTCTGTATTTGTACATAGATATATGCACAGGAGATTCCAAAAGAGTCCACATTGAAGATCTTTTCTTTTCATTTAAGATTGAAAATTAAGTTTTAGGATTTGAAATGCATGAAAACCAAGATAAGTTATTATATTAAATGCAGAAGAATTAAGATTCTGTACAATTTCTACATCACCAATCAGATGTAGTTTGTGGTGTTTACCATGTTAAGTCTGGAATAAAGCTGGGATAACATGGATTTGCAGGATTTGCACAAACTTGTGGAGTCCATGCCAGCTTGAGTGGTGCTGTCTTTCAAGCGAAAGGGAGACGTACCAAGACATTTCAACTTCCCCTCAAATTACTCCACTAATATAATTTGTGATTTTTGTATTTTGTACATTATCAAAGAACATTTTCACTTAAGTTCCGCGAGTTCAAGCACTCTCAAAAACTCCCATAATAATCTCTAAAGCTGTTTACACTGTGAAATTAATATCTTACTTGCATTCATACATCTTCACTTTGTTGTTTCTGATGAGAGAATTAGCCAGAGAATTCAATCAACTAGCGCGCGCGGTTACGAAACGTCTCGGTTGCGTATGGTAACCCTCGTTCCCTGAAGGAGGGAACGGAGACGTCACGTCGTGACCGACGAACTGGGATATCTCTTCGATAGACCAATCTACTTCGAGTGTAAACTAAACGAGCCAATGCACATTGGCATGCAATTATTGCATCCAGCTGCCGCTGACCACCCGGCCGCTCAGCAGTAGTACAGCAACCGTGGCAATGGGACGTGATGTCTCCGTTCCCTCCTTCAGGGAACGAGGGTTACCATACATAACCGAGATGTTCCCTTTCAGTCGGTCACTACGAGTCACGTTGTGACCGACGAATTGGGATCCTTACCAAAGCGCCATGGTGCTGCCCCTTCCAGTGCCCTGTGCGACAGCGCTCTCTCCCACCTTCAATACCACGACTGAGGTGCCCTTGAGCAAGGCACCAAACCCCCAACTGCTCCCTGGGCGCCGCAGCATAAATGGCTGCCCACTGCTTCGGGTGTGTGTTCACGGTGTGTGTGTGTGTGTGTGTGTGTTCACTGCTGTGTGTGTGCACTTAGGATGGGTTAAATGCAGAGCACTAATTTCTAGTATGGGTCACCATACTTGGCCACACGTCACGTCACTTTCCTCACTTGCAAGTCGCTTTGGAGAAAAGCGTCTGCTAAATGAATAAATGCTAACTGAAATCAGTGTATTAAAAATGCAGGTATTCAGATTCTTAGTTCTTAGAGATGGAGTGTTATGATTTTAATAGCTTAACAAAAAGCTGAAGTAGAAACTTTGATTGAATTTATCGGTTATCTAATTCAACATCACATACACAATCTTTGAAGGTTTTAATTTGTCCATATGCATTTACATGTTGGCAGACAGTTTTATCCAAAGTGACTTGCATTGCATTCAAGGTGTACATTTTATCAGTTCATGCATTCCTTGTGGATCAAACCAATGACACTGGTGAAGACACATCCACATTCACTGCCAATCAGGTAAACTCTTCATTTGTTTGCAACTGCCTTAAATGTTCGGTAACAGTACACTCTAAAACATGCTGGGTTAAATGTTAAATACAACCCAGTGCTGGGTAAAATAGGGACAAACTATTTTTGACCCAGCGGTTGGGTTACTAAACATTTAACCCAACCGCTGGGTCAAAACAGCCCAATTGCTGGGTTTGTCCCTATTTTACCTAGCACTGGGTTGTATTTAACCCAGTATTTTTTAGAGTGTAGTTATAGGTGTTGCAGAACCCATCTAAACAACTTCAAAACTTGTGTTTCAAAATTGTTAGCATTCCAACAGCTCGGATAAAAGTACAGAGCTTGTGACATTATGAATTTCTATTTGTCAGCTCAACACCTGTGATTGGCTAAAATAATGTTATGTGGCAGCTGATGGAAATGCATCAATTCAGCAAATTCATTAAAAGAGATGTCTCTTGCATTTAATTGTTTTTCATACAGTGGGTAAGGTTATTTGTAACTAAAACATTTTTGTCTCGTGCCATGCTACTCACAAATAAAAGGCATTTCTTCTTGCAATTAGCGATGTTTTCTTGTAACACAGTGCAAAAGTTTCTTGCCATCCTCATCCTAAACAGATTTCTTGGACTACACTACTCACCTTATAGCAAATTTCCAATCTTGCAATATAGATGCATGCTCTAGGCCTGCCTTAGCTCTTTATGCTGACAACAGGCCATTAGCACTATCTGTTTTTTTTCCCTTCTATGTCTAGCCACAGAGTGTCAGCTTTGTTACCTGTTCGGGGACTGGGCCAGAACTGAGCCCTGGGCATTCTGAGTAATTAGGCTACTGTGTAACTTGAACTCCACTCATAGAGATCAAATTACTTGACCAATATTAGTGTAGTTCATTTTCCTGTGCTCTATATGTATTTGAATAGTTTGCCTCTACTTCTTTAACTCTTCTAAGCTTAAGGACTGTTATTTATTGATAATGATAATGAAACAAATGTTTACCTAGGGATGTAATTAAATGTTACATTTAAATACAATTTTAATAATGTTGTCATTTATAATATCTAGTCTATTATTTACCCATAATCTATAGAGCACATCTATTTCACATACTGTTTTGTCATTTTTCTTTCACCATGGTAGATGGAGATACTTGTGTTTTTCCACCTCCACAGCAATGTTTCTCTCTTTCACTCCCTCAACAACTAATTCGCTCCATCCATCTTTCATCCTTCTCTATTTCCACCCAAGCCCCCCTTCATCCGTCTCTTTTCCCTCTCTCTCTCTCTCTCTCTCTCTCTGTTTTACCCCCCTGCTCTTTTACTGCTCTACATTTATCTCCATTAGAGATGCACATGTAATAATAGTGAGGGTCTGAGAGGAAGAGAAAATCGTTCATCGCTTTCTTTTACTTTCTCTCTGTTTACTATGAAAACAAAAAGACACAACAAGGCATGGAGGCTTTCTTACATGAGACTTAAACTTATACTGTAATCCTTTCTTATTTTCCCCTTGTAACCTTATTTAGCTCTGTCTCGCCTCTCGTACTCAGTGGTTCTCCACTTTAGTTTTGTTATCATTATTTCACAGTTTTCATTAGATTTTGTGGAATTTTCCTATCAAGGAAGTTTGAAGGTGTTATGAATCACTGTCCTTCAGCCTCCCCTGAGGAATATTGTGCTGGTATTACATTTAATGCATGCGTGTGTCTTGTTTATAGATCTTTACATTTCTTTCAGTCAGACTTTTGCTCTGTTCCAACACCTAGTGAATATTTAAGCTATCATAGGCACTGCTCCAGAAGGTAGGCATCTTAATTACACTGCCTTCTAAAACTCAGCCAAAATCTAAGGCTTTGTCACATGTATCCTTTATGGAGGAGACAATCCCATAATGCAGTGTGATGAGATTGCCAGTTTTTTTCCCATCAAAGTCAGAGAAATGTTTAAAAATGGTCATGCTCACCAAGACTGCATTTATTTGAGCAATAATACAGTACAAACTGTAATATTGTAATATATTATAATATATTATTGCAAAAACAACTGTTTTGTGTTTTAATATATTTTAAAATAACATTTATTCCTGTGATGGGAAAGCTGACCTAGTGAATATTTAAGCTATCATAGGCACTGCTCCAGAAGGTAGGCATCTTAATTACACTGCCTTCTAAAACTCAGCCAAAATCTAAGGCTTTGTCACATGTATCCTTTATGGAGGAGACAATCCCATAATGCAGTGTGATGAGATTGCCAGCTTTTTTCCCATCAAAGTCAGAGAAATGTTTAAAAATGGTCATGCTCACCAAGACTGCATTTATTTGAGCAATAATACAGTACAAACTGTAATATTGTAATATATTATAATATATTATTGCAAAAACAACTGTTTTGTGTTTTAATATATTTTAAAATAACATTTATTCCTGTGATGGGAAAGCTGAAAAAAAAATACAATATACAATTTTTAGCATCCATATAGTATGTAAGAATGCAAAATCTTTACTGTCACCTATGATGATCAGTTTAATGCATTCTTGCATTAAACTGATGCAAGAATGCATATATATATATATATATATATGTGTGTATATATATAAAGTGTGTGTTTGTGTTAAAATTATAATTAAAGACTTTTTAAAAAAAAAAGATGAAGACAAGTAAAGACAAAAATAAATTTTTTAGCGCAATAGTAATCTATACTATGTATATTTATGTTTACACTCTAAAAAATGCTGGGTTAAATATAACCCAGCGCTGGGTTAAAAATTGACAAACTCAGCTATTGGGTTGTTTTGAATCCAACCGCTGGGTCAAAAAAACCCAATAGCTGGGTTTGTCCCTTTTTAACCCAGCATTTTTTAGAGTGTATAAGAATATATTTATTGTGAGGATACATGGAGTGGCAGCCTATGTTGAATGTTTCACATTACTCATTTATAAAATTGTAATTTATAACAATTACAAAAAAAACAGCAGAACCTC